TATATATATACATATATATATAGAAAAATAAGTTCTCGGTCTTTTAATTTCCCAAGCAGAACGATAAGTTACGATTGATAACATTAAAATAATTTTTGAACTAAAATAAATTGGAAAGTGAACTAAAATAGATTGAAAAGTGATTTTTAATAATTATTTTGAAACTATTTTGATACCATTTTGATAACAGTTATATTGGTCATTTCTTCGATTTATTATCTCGAATTGAATCCATATCTTTATGATAGATTTGATTGACAAATCTTATATGATACGCGTAATAACGCAGACATTTTCTTTCCGTGATAAAAGAACGATCGTTGCTCTTTCATATATATAAAACTATCATATCTATTAAATCTAATTCATGATATAATCTATTAAATCTAATTCATGATATAATAATATTCATGATAATCATTATATTTATTTTTGCACAATACATGAAAAAACATTGTTCATCGATAGTATAATAGAATTTTAAACAGTATAACATTTTTTTCCTCGTTATCATGAATTAAATAGAAGCAACCAACGAAGAGACGTAATCAAGACATGTGTATTCTCATTAAGAACTACATTTGAAGACATTCTTTCTGGAGAAATTTTTACTTGCAGCACAAATAGAGAACACAGAATTAAATCATAATAATATCATAAAGACACCATGAGTTTATTTGTCTTATAAGTTTACTTTTAAATAGATGTCAAATGACATTATGACCTTGTGACATCATGACTCAATCATGTGTTCTACCTGGAAGAGAACATTTTGAAATGTAGCCCAAGTAATGTTTAAATATTACAACTCGCCTTATCCGGCCACGAATGATAATCGTTAATAACGTGCCTAAGATCATCAGCGTACGTATTTCGATGTGCGATGATTACAAATCCTGAGCGATTCAAATTCCGATAGAGACGTCGCGGAAGAGGCAATTTGTCATCGAAAGACGCAAATAGAACGTAAGTTATCAAAATAACTATAAAGTTATCACTTAAAATGTCACTTTTCAATTATTTACTATTCATTTTCACGTTATTGTGTGACAATTATTCTGCTTGGGGATTGTCGCCTTGACGGCGATTTTCGCGAAACGATTCCGCGCGTGTGTTCCGCCACGTGTATCTTCGTTGATGCTCAGCACACGTTAGAGAAAAAAAAAAGGAAGAAAACATCGGCGTCGCGCGGGGCGCGCGACGCTACGCGACGCGGCAGTGCACGCCGCGATCTCGCGGCAGTTCGCACCGTCCGTAGTAGATCCGGCGCTTTCCGGCCGGGCGGACTTTGAGAGTTGTTCGCGTATCGTTACGTCGTCCGCAGGGAGCAGATGCGAGCGCATGCGCGCAATCGCGTCTTCCGTTTACGCGTCCGTTGCGCGCGAGGGAGCCGAATTGAGCGAGCGAATTGGAAGAGGCGATTTCGCGCGAAGGAAGCGACAGAAAGGAGCAGAAGGATATCGTATGCCGAGAGAATAGTCAGCATGGCGAGCGCGCGCGCGCGTCCCCGACACAAACGCACAAGAGGTGTCACTTGCGCCGGGCGCCGTCGCTGACTGATTGTGAATTGTGAGTGAGAACGCTAGAACGGTGCGCGTGGCACTTGGCAAGACGGACAGACAGACGGACGAAGAGGGCGCCGCGATCGTCGATCGGTCCAATCAGGTTAGAACTCTTTCTCTCTCTCTCTCTCTCTCTCTCTCTCTCTCTCTCTCTCTCTCTTTCTCTCTAGCTTTAATTTTGATTTATTTTTATTTTTATTTTAGTTTATTTTTTATTACTAAGGCTTTTTAAAGGCCGTGCATTTCTATGTCGATATTATGTAATTTCGTATTATATTATACGCAGCGTGTGATATATCGGAGAATGAGGGTAGATAAGGTATCAGGAAGTACCGGATTTATTTTCTTTTAAGTATATTATATCCTTCGAGATTTTTAATGACAGTGCTGTTATAATGTTGGCATTGCGCAAATATTATACATGATAAAAACGCTGCAACAGTACATGCATAACACGATACCGCGAACTCAAGTAAAACAATAAGTCGCGACAACATTAATATAACGTTAAAATTAATTAAGGCCTGGTTGTTCCACCTTTTGTTAAATTTTACTTATTGGGTAAGTAGCAAGATTAGCCAATCACATGCGCGGATTGCCAGATTTACCTAACAGGTAAAATTTTCCTACAAAAGGTGGAATAATCGATCCTGAAATGAATTGAATAATGAATTGAAAATAATTAAGTTTCTTTAGTTACACATTTTGGAGTCATTTTGGAATCATTTTGTCATATTGGAAGTTATTAAAAGTAAAGTCTGAGATATAATTGAAAAGCGTAAAGGTATTGTAAAAAAAATAGAGAATAACAGATTTTCAAATACACGGTTTCTGATTAATTAAAATCTATTATTCTTTGTTGCTATTGTTTTTGTTTTCAAATTGTTATTAAGCTTTGTAGAATCAGTATAAAAAGATTTTTAAATTCCCAGGAAAATTTTAATTAATTAAGACTATAAGACTTTTCTGTCATTTGAATGAATGAAAGAAGGTCCGGACGTTTCGATGAGAATTACTCCATTCATTGAAAAGAAAGAAAATTGAGCGGTAAGTTATTAAATAGATTTAAATTGATTACATATTGAATTATTTAGCATTTTATCTCAGATCCGTTTCGAAATATCTCTCAGTTCGAAAATGTCAACCGCTTTTGAAATTGTTCGTTTCATTTTAGTCACTATTGTAGTTTCTAGAGTTGTCTTCCGATGACAATTATTCACGGTGATATTTAATCCTCTTTACATGACCAGGATTATAACAATAGAAACGCATAGCTGCGTTCATTGCATACTCGTTCTTCAATGATTTTTTTTAAATAACGAGCTGCTTTCTGTTCTTTGTGAATAAAGCAACGCCTCCGCATGGGCGTTGCTTTATATCGGGAATTTATATTTTTGTTTCGTAAAAATAACAAGAATCACATGATGATATCGCGAATTCTTGAGTCTTGATTAAGTTAGTAAATATTATTAAATGGAATTTGATACTTAAAACTATTTTTATTATATAAAATTTCTAAACATATTTTAAGTCTTTTATTTTCTTGTTTTTAAACACATAATTTTTTAAAATAAAAGAATATTGTTAATATCTCAGCATCAACTTTTTAAAAAAAAATTTTAATTTCCTTATTTTTTTATTGTTAAAAGGTTTAAAAAAAAATTTTTGAAAAATATTCGAAAATATGCAATGTTTGAATGAGATTACTGATAAGTGTAGAAACAAAAAATCAGATGCCTGTGTATGTTCAGATTACTGTTCACAAATTAATCGGTAATTCATATAATTTTATACAACAAAACACAAATAATATTTATTAACTTTTATCTGTACAATTTATCTGTACAGTGTCGGTGATATAAATATAGTCGAAAACTAATGATGTTTTAGCAATCGAAGAGAACAAACTAGTTTCTCGATTGATTTTAAATTGTCAAACAGAATAACAAGAGAACAAAACAAAAAAAGAGACGTAATCTATTCACTTTTCCTTGCTCTTCTTATCTAAATTAATTTCATTGCTCTTCTTATCTTGACAAAATTTAATCTCGATAAAACTTGGACGATTCCTATATTTGATAAACTAATTCCTATTAAGATTGATTTAATGTATAATATGTTTGCGAATAAAGCTGCCTTTAAAATCGAAGAAACTCAGATGATATTGATTTTCAAAATATTTTTTTATCTACCACGTTCAGTATGGACGTTATGTGGATCTCTAATGATTTCAGTGCAGTCAAATATTACGTATTTATTACGAAGAGTACGAAGCGTTACAAAACTTTCTAGATAAATTGCGAGTCGATTCGTATTTATATCTTGACTATTTTAGACGTTTTAATTTTAACTTGTTTAGATCGCGTCCTCTCTGTTGCTACCTGTTTATACTCGCCAAAGAGAGAGAGAGAGGGGGGGGGGGAATTTTATTTATATAACATTGCAATCGTTCTTATCGAAAGCTCAAATCGTTATCAATTGCAAGAATTATCTTTCAAATTTAGGTTTTATCGCGGTTTGTACCTTCTTCAAATTCTACTTGTGTGGAATTGAATTAATCTGATACGTGTGCAACTGCGCACGATCGATCGATATTGCTGGGTGTGTACGCGCGCGCGCAAGATCGATCGAGGCGTGTTTAAATCACGCTTCGATTTGCTGCTTCTCATCCCTTCCGCTCGTGGTGCTTGTTTTCTAATCTCACCGAAAGCATGATGATTAAACGACGGGTCGCAGATAGCGCGGAGACGCGGTTGTGCCGCGGTAACACACGCGATATTTCCAAAATAGTCGGGACGGTAGCCGCACCGGTGAGAGAGAGCGAGCGGCACGAAGTGAGGCGCGAAGTACGGCCCAACCCCCTACGCGTGTGAAGCGCCAAGCGCGTCAGCTGGGCGCGCGTTCGCGCCTAACTTCAGCGCGCGCCAGCGGGCGCTGTGATTCGCGATTCGCATTGACGGACGGTCCGATCCTGAACGGTATTCGAGATATCCGCACGACCTTTATATCGATCTTTATCAACCTTGACAGTTGATGCAGCGAGGCAAGTGGTGGGGGCGATTCCGACCTTGACATGGAGGGCCACGACATCCAGGAACTGGTGGTTGTCAAGGACAGCGTGATCATCAGGGGCGGACATCCGTCGCTTTGTTCCCCTTCGAACGGTGGTGAGTACTTCCACGAATGGATCTGCGGTGTAATGAACAGTCATTTATGGCGAACGATTCCCAAGCAGAACAAATCATGATAATGCTAAAATGATATTAAAATGAATCGTCACTGATCGAAAGGACGATATATATATATAATTTTTTAATATAATTATATTTTGGAGAGCTATTTTGATATTATTTTGATGTCACAACATGACTTTTTGTTCTGTCTGAGTTTAATTGCGATTTAGCTGACGGGGATGTTTGCAACTTTAGATATCTGAAAGTTTTTAAATAGCATATTTTATTTCTCATCTCTGCGCTTATCATCTATATAGAATATCCGAACGTATATACGCGCATGCAACTATTTTAAAAATCTATTTTAAAATTGATAATATTATTTACAGCGAATATATATACAATAATTTTCTCATTGAATATTATCATTTAATAATATCGTTTAATTTTATTTTCTCAACACATTTAGTCTCGAAACGAGACGAAAACCGAGCCTGCGTTTCACAGAAATTGGGGACGTGCCCAAAATATACAAATCTTGTCGATCAACTTCAAAACCGAGTATATACTCCCGCGAGTTTCGCGGCAATGATTTGGCAAACTCTCCGTATATCGCCTCGTTTCATTGCCGCAAATAGCTCATTGCGAAGGACAATCGCTCGGAGGGAAAAAAAAGGCCGGTATGCGCGCCTACAAAAATCGGGAAGCCAAGGAAGAATACGTCTATTACGCAATCGATTGCAGACAAGCACATTCTGTACTGATGATTGCGCATAAAAATTTGCGCGGGATGAACAAGCCGTGCTCAAGATAAGGTCGCGTCGGTCATGCTGTAGATAACCCAGGGACCTCGGCTGCGCAGTAAACCAAAATGGCGGCCAGTCTCGTAATCGATTGCGCTGCATGAATCGTCGACACCTTAAAAAAATGTTTAATGATCTGTTGACAAGTCTCAGAAAAGTTGACGCTAAATGAAACAAGCGGATATTCAAAGTTCGTGATTAACGATATGAAGACAGTATTTCAAAATGGCGGCTAGTCCAGTAATCGACTGTAACGCGTAAATTGTCAGCATCTTAAAAAAGGATCTTAACGATCTGTTTATAATCTTGGAAATGCTGACGTTAAATGAAACGGACAAAGATTGATCATTAATAATGAAAATTATGTTTTAAAATGGCGATCGTCTTGATATAATCGATTGTATCCGCGAGAATTATCGATATTTTATAAAAGCAAGAAAATTACTACTGATCGTCGATTAATAATGCCATATAATTTACTAGCAGGCAATTTATATTTAAAAAAAACATTCAACCGAACCGTTTTATATACTGTTTAAAAGTGTAAAAAAATTCTATTTATATAAAAACGTTATTAACATCTTATAAACATTTTTATAATGTTTATTAAATAATTTTAAAAACATTAAGTTTTAAACGTTTATTTTGAACGTAACTATGTTGCTTGGATAATGACAATTATTATTTAATTAGAGATTGAGTGATTTTTAAAATGGCCAAATGAAGTACCACTTTGTAAACGACATTGCATTATATGTACATATTCTGAAGAAATGACTTTAAAGTATTTATTCGTTCGTTAATAAACATGATGATAAAATAAAAAAGAGAATCGCTCATGCGCGTGCAGTCGCTATTAAGTGTTATATTATAATATTTGATGTTATTATCCGCGGGAATGAATTCATATATGTACGAGACTATTTATTCGACCGACAAGTTTTTTTGTGTTACAATTACTGATGATATTATTTCTTTACGCGTAATGTTGTTTATATAAGTCAGGAAAGTATAAATAATTTCATTATGATCGTATAAAGATGTCTGAAAATCTTTTAATTTAATTAATTGATTCTCTGAGCTCGATTTTTGCTTAAAAATAGATCTTTTTTTAACTTTTTTGAACTTTATAATAAATAATAATTATTTTATAAATAATTTTTGATATATGTTTTAATAGAGTCGCGTGCGATTGGAACACAAAGTGCGTCGCAATAATATACTTCGCTCGAATCATACTTGCGATAATTGTTTTATTGCACCAAGTCAATTGATTAACGGTAATTCATCGATGGCGCGTCTTGGCTGAAGCACGTGGCACTCGCGCGTGGTTATTTCCATGATTCGCGCGACGGGAATATCACGTACAAAGAAGCATGTTTACGTGAGATAACGTCTAAAGAAATATGAATAGGGAAATATGAAGAAGTGCTCGTTGTTAGCGCATTCGCGAGCGCATGTTTCTTTTTTTATACCTCTTTTAATCAGAAATACTCATCGTGAACAAACGGTATCTTATGAACTATTCTTTTTTTATACCATAATGGTTGACTCAGCGTTTTTATCCTAATGCTAATAATGACAAAAGCGTTTTTAGCAGCAAAGATGTGCTAAACGAAGGCTAGAATATGTACATACATAAGCATTTCTTTTTTCGAAAAAAAAAATTACTTCACGTTTAAGTACTCTCAGGCGAACTTAGACGTCCGAGGACGAGAGTGATCCGGCCATGGACGGTCGTCTTGAACGGATTTCGCTTGTCAGTGAATCGCGACACGTTTTGACTGCATGACAAATCGAAGGTTGCATCCTCGGCGTGTCGTATCAGTGGTTAATAACGTTATAAGCAAACCGCGCCGCGAAGAGGTCAGTTGATAACCCGCAGCAAAGAGGAAAGAGCTTTTACGACTGTCGAGATTGTCCAACTCCATCGATTTGACGCATTCTAATTTCTAATCACACCTATATCTAAGAGCATATTCACACTCAGAGCGAAAAAGAATGTGGACAAATGGAAATCCTAATCAGAAGTCAAAAAAGAAAAGCTAGAGAAAGAAAGATGTATATGTATGTATTACTAACTGTTAGCAATATTCGATTAACTTAAACAACAACTTCTGTTTTTCCGCATTTTGCTTTTCCTGATTTTATTTTTCCACTCTTAATGAATACGCCCTAACAGTAGACGTAAGAAACCGCTGATATTACGTGAGACTATATCGCGAATAGAAATTTTTTCATTTTTACCGTTACACGTATCTACATATTAATTATTATACAAGTCTACCAATTGAAAACCATGCGCATTGATAATCGAATCTATAATATAGAGTGGCATATGAAATATCGTACTATTTAATTATTTCGTATTTAAACTACTGTGTTTAATACAAATCCTGTACTTCGTGGAAATTCTGTTAGGTGTGACACGAGTCAAAATTGGGTGAAGGTAAAAATGCATACACATTGAAAAAAAATTTACTAAATTTTAACATATATAATATTAATAATTAAGTTATTTATTTACAGTAAATAAACATTTATTCAATTTGAAAAATATATTATTAATTATATATTAGTTATTATATATTGTATTAGTTAAATGAATGGGTCTTGTACCAAATATAAATATATGTTTACATTTAATAAATATTTACATTCAATTAAAATTATTCAAAGCAATATTTATTAAAATTTAATATTTTTTTCAGTGACTAGTTTATGAAATGCAGATTGGGGCATCATTGCCATAATCTTCCTTTTTGCATAGAATATTTATTTTTAACAAAATTAATATTGAACTGAAATAGAATTAATTACCAAAACTTGGAAAATTATTTCTAATAGATAACATTCAATATGACTGTTTTGTCTTAAAACTTCTTGGAAATATGCCTTTCTGATTATATTTTTCAATATAAATCTTTAGATAAGCACACCTGCATGATGTAGATGGAAATATCTCCAAGTTTCTATTACACTATTTCTGCGAAAAACAATATAATTTTCATTTTAACTCAACTTTTCAAGTTTTCAAATCAACTTTTTTTTTGTTCAACTTTTTAAGTTCAATCGTAATCTTACAAATGTGTATTTTTACCTTTACCAGCTCGTGCCATACATAATTTTTACGAATTAGTAAAGCATTTGGTCATACAATTAAAAAAAACCGATACTTTACGAGTATAGTTTTAATTTAATGAAATAATTAAATGAAATTTCATGCGTCACCCTGTATGTCCGATTCGTTTATAGAATATTGAAAGAATGTTATCGAGAAAGCAATGATTATTCGTAAAGAAATAAATTAAAGATATAGAATAAGTTTTAAACGTAAGTTTTTGGATGATTTAAAAATGTGAAGTAGTTTTTTCTACATAAATAATATTTTTGAAAAAAATTATCTTGAAAATTAATAAATTAATTACAATGCTTTCTCATGTTTGGATTAAATCGTGTATCAAAGATAATTAAAGATGAAATAATGAGATAAAAATTCTGTAAGTCTTATATGCGTAAATTACAATAGAAAATAGCATTCTTGTATAGTTCATAAAAGTTTCTATATATTTTTCTCGATATTATTGATTTTAATGATTCTGCGTTCCTTATTATAATCTGAATATCTGAATATAGAAAATGAAAACATTTACGCGTGATAAATATTTGAGAGAAGTTATACAAAGTAGATCGTTTTATATCGTATCAAATATTTCGGATTATCATAGAAAAAATATTTTAAGTTCATGTAAATGTTTTGTAAACTATATTTTTTATAGCTTTTTTTACCTTAATATCTTTATATGCAGAATAGCTAGGGAAACTAAATCATAAAAAAAAAGATTTATATGATTCCATTTAAAAAAAAAATTAATAATAAAAAAATATTAATAATATATCTAATTTATATGTAATTATATAACTTATAAAATTCTTTTTTGCATTGTTCCCGGCCTCTATTGTTTTCAAAAGCTTCTTATTTTTCTTTCTCGACCTATTAGAGATAAGCAGCCTAGCCGATAAACTCGCACCATGCTATCGCTAATGATTAGACCATTATCGCCAGATTACAAATACTTCCCTCGACTGCCAAGTTTGGAACACTTGTTATTCACTTGCATCTCTAAATTGCAAAAGATGTAAAGGACGTATTTCAAAGAAAGACGGATTATCTCTAAACGACAGTAAGCT